ACAAAGAAGCAAACCAACATTTTAAAGACAACTTCAATCAGTTACACAGCATTACCTCATTATAAACGGAGAAAGCCTCCAAGTTTGAGAGTGTTAATGCCAGTCATTAAACGGAAATGTCCCTTCAAAAAATTTTTGATGTTGAATTATATTCTTCAGCCCTGTCCTGAAGAAAATATACTGTTATCAACAGAAAAATATGACAAACAATAACTTCAGGTCAAAACCTCTATACTTATCAACATTCATCTAAATTTTTAAATTCTATTTTAATTACCCTATAATATTCTAACTTCTATATCTACATAGTATTAAAGTTGAAACAACTTACCTAATATATAATATGACTTTTACTTCAATTATATAATGTCTTTAGTGTAACTACATATTATATTATATCCAAATACATATAATCGATGTATTTTTGAATAATAAATTATAATCCATTATTATGGGATTAAGGGAGTAATATTTAGGACATTGATTAAAACACCAACAAGTTTAACACACTCATTAAAATTAATTATTTTTTTTTGTCTAAAATTAAAGATAAATAAATTTAAAAATACAGCCATACATATAGAATGTAAAAATCAACTAAATTGGATATACTTATATTATATTTTAATGGTAGAACTAGATGAGCATTAAAAGGTGCATTGAATTAAAAAGTATATACCAATCATTGTCATAATAATTAAGATATAAATAATTTTAAATAAATGTATTTCTAAATAATGATTACTAAAATTTCAAAACTTAAGAATAACTACAAATTGTAGTATATATAATCAATGTGTATCAACTTGAAAGACTAATTTGAAAAGAACAAAAAAACAAAAAAAAAAAAGTTATAAACAAAACCTTCTAGGCATAAGTAGGAAGTAAGAGAATGAATTTACAAAGAATCTAAAAATAAAAGAGAGTCTTTTTGAGGAACTTGAAAATGCTTTAATATTTTTCTCAAAAGTCCAAACTATCTAAAAATTATAAAAATAGTAAAACAAGTGGTAAAATAAGAGCCCTTATTAGCTTTAGATATATTTATTAAGATAAAAAGTTAAACAATTCTAATATATACAAAAGAAGAGAGAGGGACAAAGAGAAGAATTGGGGTAAAAATGATATAATAATAAATATAGATGCGATTCATGAATAAGAGAAAATAATATTGAGGAATAAGGATAATGAGAGACAATTTAATAACAAATAAATTATTAATATATAGACAAAAAAGTGAGGATCAATGTAGAGTAGATAAATACTGATAAAAAAAATATAAAATAGATATATAAATATAATAATAAAATATGAGAGAATAAACTCATAGAAGGAATTTCAAGAAAAATTGATAAAAAGTGAAATAATGGGAGAATGAATAATAATGAATAAGAATGAATAAATCATTAATATAAAGAGAAAAATTAGATAAAACTTATAATGTGGATATGTTTAAGCTACTTTTTGTATTGAGCAAAATTTCAAGGAAAGTAAATCTATGTCAATGCTGATTTTGCTTGTGTTTTGGATAGAATGCATGATTACTTTGTTGTGATTTTAATTGAAATGATTCTGCGTTATGACTTGGTAACAAAATTACGTTAGTCTTGTTAGTTGTTACTATAGATTTTTATTTTGTTTGCAGGAATAGGATAATCCTATCATTTTTTTTTATCATATATATGCTGGTCTTAAGATCAACTTTATGATAGGTTAATACTCTATTTTTTTATTTTTAATGTTAAATTTTATAGATTTTCAATTTTTTTTTTTTTTTGAACAAGTCGACAAGGGATAGATTGAACCTCAGCCCAGGGAAAAGGGGGAGTGGGATTGCCTCGAACTTGGGGGAGTGGGATTGCCTCGAACTCGAGATTTATGAGAAATCCTATGCGAGGAGCTACCACTTGTTCTACCCATGAGTTCTCATAGATTTTCAATTTTTTAAAGATTCATTGTAAATATTTTAGTATAGAAAATGAAAATGAAACTAAGTAAAATAATTTGTCATAAGGACTATCTCCTATTGGGATCTCTTACTGTAACAAATCGTTTGTTAGACTGGGGAGCAGGAGAGAGAAAAAATTTGCGGAATTGAAGAGACGGTAAGGCTGGAAAAAGGGGAGTCTGCTGTGGAAATAAAGGACGGTATTTTAGTCTTATGAAAAAATTTAAAAAAAAAAAAACCCTTAATTAAAATAATGAATTAAGTCATAAAGATACGCTTGTATTTAGTATAAGATACCATCATACCCATTCATAATCTATTAATAACCCCAAAAGTGTAACGCCTGATCATGTGCCGGTCAAATCCGTCAGTTGAGGAAATATGTGGCACTTGGGTGTCAAAGGCACATGTTTAGTGGGGCCCACTAATTGATGGGCCAATTTCTACATTTCTATTTATTGTTTATTAAACGGACTGGAATTTTAGTGTAAACATGACCCCTGCATTAAAACGGGTTTGAAGAGGTCAAATGAAATTTTGAATTGGGAATTTTAAGGTTCGAAGGTATCTATATATGGGGTTCATCAAAATTTATTTATTTTTTAAAAAAACAATTACATGAGTACAGTGACAGAACACAGAATAATTTTAAAATCAGTCAGTTTAAAATTGTTTGAAATCTCATATATACCTTATAATTCACGCACACAAAATTGATGTAAGACAACTATCCCACAATTAGGAGTGAACCCCCCACTCAAAGGGGTTTTATCTTTTTTGAAATAATTATATAGGTACAGTGACGGAATACAGCACAATTTCAAAATCAGTCAGTTTGAAATTATCTGAAATCTCAAATATACCTTGCAACTCATGCACATGGGGTCATGTTGGACAACTGTCCCACAATCGGGGGATCAAAATTCATTCAATTTCAACGCAAAGAGCTGATGAGAAAAACATCAACCAAACACCCAATAGTACAAACTTATAAGAACAAACTTTATTCATGAATAACTGAAAAAAACTAGAAACATTTAATCTTTAAATTGTCGCAGGTTGCATACGTTAAGTTTGAAAACATGGATCCATTTGCGTTATTAATTTGCAATCATTGTCAGCTGAATATCTAACCATCTATACAAGTCATTAATTGAGAGGATCAGAGTACGGGATACGACACTAGCTAGTTGCTAAAAGTCTTCAACAACCAAAGGAAATTGGTGGAGGAGATTTCACATGTATCCATTGGATGTTCCATCAAATTTATACATTGAAAATACGACTTCATTGATGAAAGGTTTATTGCAATTAAATAGCGTGGAATCTCAGTAGGTCTTCAATATGCATTTTCATGGAAATTATGAACTTGACTTCCATATATCAGTTGGTAATATGTATTTTCGGGAAAAAATGATAAACTTGACTTCCATAACCATTCTCTTTTCTGCTTCTTCAACAGCTCCTCTTAATGCTGTCATAAAATGCCACAGGCATAAACCCAACCCCAGCAATTACCATATCCTCCAAAAGAATTTCTTCATTTATAACCGTAACAAGAACAACTAATGAGCATTAAACCTAAAAAGTAAAATTTAAAAATAATCAAGAGAAAAAATAAGACCTGGCTCTTTTTTTAAATTTGGGCCCTAGGAGAACATGGATTTGATCTAGAGCCAGTTATGAGTGTTATCCACTAAGTCACTAACCTTATTAACTTAGCCCAAAAAAAGTTGGTAAACCCGACTAGTAAGTGTTGAGCCAATTCGGTTAGGGTTAAAAGAGCATAAAACAAACTTGTGTGGTATTTGGTTTGCGACACTATCAAATTAGGTTTAAATCATGCTTTGCATGATGACCTCATTTAATGAGGCAAAGAAAAAGGTGCACGAGTGGTTCCTGTAAATACCCATGCAAAGGCAGAGGTAGCAAGCATGAGAAATTGAGAGGCAGATTTGTTTTGAAATATATAAGTTGAATTAAGTTAAATTCTAATCTTAAACTTTTTATCACTTTCATTTGTTTGGAATTGTAGTGCTCAAAATTCTCAACCAGTGTTACTAGGAGCACTAGAGCTCTGTTTTGAGACAATAGAGTGTCCTGAAAGTGGAAACTGGAAAAAGTTTATGGGACCCTGGTGACTTCTCCTAGTGATACGGTTTCATGCACCATGCCTCGACCTTACAATGTTGTGGAGCTTCGAGAATATCATGAGCGAAGAGATAATGCAATGCGGCAAGTTGAGAAGTGGGGAAGATGAGTACTGGGAGAATATAAAGAAGTAATGCAGAACAAAGAATATAGAATCAAAACAGAGTCTTTGAAATTAATTTTGAAGCCAAAATATTGTTTTCTAAATTCCTTGATCGGTGCCCGCACTACAAGTCAACCATGAATCAAAAGCATGTCCAAAATGCAAATTAAGCTTCGGCTCACATTATTTTTCAGTAGGAATTCTTAAAGTTAGAAGTTCTTGACTTGAACTTTCCAACTTCCAAGTCTAACCAACCATTAGTAACTTGCTGCTCGGGCTAAGAGGAAAGCAGCGTGAAACAACAGCATTCATTCAACCATAACTAAAGAAGAAACTTTAATTTAACCTCGCAAAACATGATTACAGGTGTAGTTTGAAAAGGGGTGTTTGAATCGGTCTAGTTCAAGGTTTTAAAAAATAAGTTATTTAGTTTATAGTGTGAACACAAGGTGTTAATATAAAATGGGTTTTTTGGTTTAGCATTAATATATATTTATATATATCTTTAGATAACAACGACTTGCAATTTAATTACAGGTTTAAATGAGTTTCACATTTCTACATATCATGTGCTTTCTTTGCTTCTGTGAAACGTACGTAATAAGTTAAAGGATTAATTCTTGTTAAACAAAGTAGTAAAATTGGGATATAACAAAAGGAAAATATGTTTTCCAAAAGGAACGGAGAGTGCAGTCTATG